TTTTTTCGGTCTGTGCGAGGAACTGTTGCTAGTAACTTTTCAACAGAGAAATGTAATCCGTAGGTAAACAGTTGCCTTCGTTCCTTTTCCTATATTCGATAATGTTAGTCACCGAATAAAAGGTCTCCCAGATTTATAGCATAAATTAAACCTTTTGTACTCAATGTACAATTATGCAACGAAAATTACTGTTAACAGTGGTTCCACCTATCTTAATTATAAAGGGATACATGTGTGTACTATGATATTCTTCAACAGAGCAATTGCAATTTCAATTGTCACATCCATCTTTTCTTCAACAGAGACGCTGGAGGGACAAAGCGCTTTCCGTTTAAAAAGTCCGTTTTTTGAGCAAGGGGATCAGAAACTTCAGAAACGATACTATGCTCTTCCAGACGATGGCCTCTTAGATGTGAGAGATCTTTCACCAAAACCGTCACACCGCGAAGCAGAGACGAACAAAGACCAGTGGTACTCAACCGAAGAAGGCATGCAGCTTTTCGGGAAGATCCATGGTGCTCTACAGGAACATTTTGAAGTCAGACCCAGCAGGGATACAACAAGTCATGACCTTTGCTTGTTCCTTAAATCCACAGGACAAGAGTTTGCTGTCAATTTTCCATATAATTTTCCCCATGACTCAGCGATCCTTATCAGAGGTGACAATCGAAAGGAAGCAATACGTTTGACGGAAGCAAGCAGCGAGGGAGGAAACACAGAGGGTTCCAAGGATAAAAAGGCACCTAACTCTGCAAAGGATGAAGAGAATGCCCAAGATACAGATGAAGAAGGTAATCTTGACCCTGCGAAGATATCACAGTCTCCTCCTACGTCTGCACAGGATGAAGAGAAGGACAAAGGTGCAGAGGCAAGCGGGAGTCTCGATCCCGAGGAGATACCACAGTTATTATATCAAGGAATTTATCGCCTGGTGTTTGGAACACATGTTTAAGCCGCTTGGAAAATCCCACTTCAGTTGAACTAGGACTAACACATGTAATAGCTTTTGGAGATATAAATTGGAAAGCATCCTACTAAAACCAGAGGTGACGAACGGTCCTTCAGAAACTCTCGAATTTTACGATCCTCGCAGTCTCGCCTTTTTCTTTTCTTTTCTTTTCTTTTCTTTTTTTTGGCGGTTATGTGCGTCTCACAATGTCGAATTTTTCACGAAGCTGTCTCTTGTTCGACTTTTTGTTTTTGTTTTTGTTTTTGAAGACTGAGGAAGTTTGGTAGTCTCCTGATGTATTAAAACTTCCAAACTTCCGCCGAGAACAGCTTAATCCTAAATTCTCCAAAATTGTCAGAGTTCCAAAAACAAACGTACCTCCATGTCATTTTTGGGCTAGAAATTCAACTAACTTGTTTTAGGAGATCAAGAAGTAGTGTTATAGTCGAATTCTCAGTTCCAGACGGTCTCGGTCTAGCAATTTAAAAAGTCAAAATGTCTTGGGCTCGCTAAGAAAAACGTTAGTCTCGCCTTCTCGCAAAGTTTCGCACTTTCGTCACCCCTACAACGTGGATTGCAAAAAAATTTAAGTCACTTTTTAACAAAGTGAGTGTGTAGGAATTAGCGAGGAATTATTACAATTCAAGAATTAAAAAACACTAAACTAGTGCCTTGCAATGCTGGCAAGAATAAAATGAAAAATGTAAAGGTATCATTCATATGGTATGTCAGACAAACATCCAGTGTAATATATTATGTTTGATGCAGACTAAATGCACATCAGGCTAGGGATTTCAACACAATTTGAAGTCTTAGCTTACATCTGACACTCCTGTCAAGATAATTCAGTTCAAAGGCAATAAAACGTAGAAAGGGTGTATGACTTAGGCTTGTCTAATTGTCTTGTTACTTACTTTATTTACTAATTACTTACTCAGTTAGCTTTGTATATAGTAACTGCAATCTTGGTCAATTTAAGATCTCATTTCCCTATAGTTTCAAGGATAGTTAACTTTTTGTGTTAAATTCATGTACGTTTGGGTGATGGAGCATATAAACTCCCACGCAGGGTGAGTGAGGCAACTGGCCGTTTTGAGAGTACTAGAAACTGCCTCTTTCAACTCCACCGAGATTTTCTTTGGGGCTCATTGTGTTTGGACTTTCGACTTTTTTTTTTTTTGCATATTCCAGGGAGTAGTATAGAAAACTATGTTTTGATCACAACACCCAAAACAATCGTGTCATGTGTTGAGGTTTTTTTAGAAGGTCTATGCCGGGTACTTAGGCTATTTGTACGGTAAACTCGGATCCCCACTTAAAAGCAAAACGCAGTTAAAAGAGGGTAGGAATAACCATCAAGAAGACTCGGCCGACCATACAAAAGTAAAAAATCCAAAGGTAAAATTTCCAGGGAAGTCCCTTCAGGGGGCTTACAAAGCATCTCTTCTATCAATAGGAGCCCTGAAGCTATTACCTACATGTAACATAAAATACACAATAATAGGATACATACAAAAATAAAAGCGTGAACATAGGAAAGTACATTACAACAAATATTAAAAGGCTATAACTACCATAGTAACATCTTCAAGTTTATGTACATGTACAGGCCTTGAAGCAGTGATATCGTCCTTCTGGTTCATGACACAGCCTTACAGTATTATGGCGTTTAGCAAGCATGCAAGACTTGATTCCACTTCATCCACTTGTCAAAAATGAATAAGACATGGGACACGAAAAACATTTTAAAAGCTAATTAGAGAACCAGATTTTCTTTTAGGTCCCCTCGGGTAAATTTTTGTAACATCCCACAAGCCATTGCGACCCTTTGAGTAAGCTCCCATAAGTACTTGCGAGCCATTGGCTTGGCGCGAATTTCGACCGGCGATGTTGAATGTATTCAATGGTTGTGCTTTTCCGTGCAGTTGTCTTTTCGGAATTTGTCCGAAGATGCCTCAACGATCCACAAGTATTTACTTTCGTAGAGTAAGATTGCAGCTTTTTTTTCTATTTGAAGCGAATTACATCGAAGTTGAAGTGAGCTGAAAGTGTCTATCTCGACGTGTGAAATATCAAGCTTTGCTTGTAAACTTAGACGTCCATGGAGCCGTTTATATGTCTCTACAACAAAGCCCGGACGACAGCAGCACGGTCTTCTTTAACAGGTAGTCATTGTTCGCTTATTGTTTGTAATTATTCAAATATTTATTTTACAATAACTGTCCAATGGCTCTACCATATGTGTATCCTGAGTGAGTACCTATCTAAACTTTACATCATGTTTATTGTTGTCAGCTTTGGATATCAGCGACAGATTGCATCGAAACAGTAGGTCTTTAAAGAGAAAATCACGTAAATTGCTCAAGATAACTTATATATTCATGTTAAATTCACTGTTAGGTGAAAAACAAGTGGTATTAGTCAAAGTTTAACGCAGCACTGACTCGATAGAGGGAACCTGTTTATGTAATAGTGGAAAATGTAAAAATGTAAATCTTATCTATGGTGGTCATGCACTTAGCTATACAGGAACTAAGCTTAGCTAGTTTACAGGCATGCCACTGAAACAAAGGATAATATATATACGCCAGTTAAGAAGATAAGGCAAGAACCAAGGCACGACCGGCTCGTGTAAGGCTTTTAATCAAACTGGGTTAAAACTAACAGCCGAGTAACAGTAACAATATGGCGGACGCCACGCTACGAACAACAGATAAAAACGCATTCTGAGTCCTAGTACCGCTGACCGGTACTGGCGATAATAATATTTCAAAGAAACGTTACATAGCTAACAATAGTCTCGCAAAGCGTGCATTTGGCTACTGCTTAACAGTTTATGCTTAATGCAATCAGAACGTAAGGATTTATCAAACATTGTTAGTTTGACAAAAGTAGCATTCATTATTAGGTAATTAAATTTCTAACATGATGTTTCTCGCGTAGTTTAGAGGGTAGACTGTGTACAACAGTGGAATGATCCAGTTGTGCGTATGATGTTGAGATTGAAACCGATGTTCTTCGAACTGAACATGCACAAGTTATTCACATACATGTGTATGAATCTGTTTTAGCTCTTCTTGTGTCTAATAAATGGAGCCTACTGGTTATTATCTATAACAATTTTTGAACTCAAACTACCATGCGGCATACCAGGAAAAGCAAAGCTCCTAACACAATTGTGCATATGTATAGAGGTCCTCCATCCTAGATTTTTGCGATTAATATAGATGCCATTTGATGAATAATCAATTGTTTGAAAATGACAAAGTTAAACATTTAGCATTTCTGAAGTTCTAAGCACAGTGGCAAATTATTTAAGACCATATCTCACTCGCTATGTGCTTGCTGCTACCCCAATTCAGATGTTGCTCAGTGGTCCCTGTATATGACATTCTAAATATCTTTCATGCTGCTTACAAGATGACTTTGTCACTATCTGTAAACCTAAATGTTTTGATTGAAAAATATTCTAGAAGTTGGTTTTCGGTACAATCAGTTACTTTATTTGCTACCTTCTATAAAAATGTGTTCATAGTTGTATCAAAGGTAGTGTGAGTGTACCGTATCTAGTTCAAGTCATTGGTAAGGACTAATACATGTATATTTTGTTACTGATGTGTCTAGGAGATTATTAATAAAAACTGGTTAGCTTGCATTTATGACACTTTACAACATTATGATCAACTATCTGGATCTTTATGTTACACATCAGACAACTATTGTGTGAAGATGACTTATAATTAGTACATACTATTTGGCATGACTGAGGCAACAACAACTTTACCAGACGATTCTAGGTGTCCTGGTTCAATACTAATTGTGATCACATCCACTTGCTTTACAGAACTGGTTCTGTTACTAATTAGCAACACGTGGTGTTATTCAAGCTATTGTTTTGATAAGTTGTGTACGCCTCCTCAAATGCTCTTTGTCTACCTATGTTTTCTTGGACATTATCAATATTTACTGGTATTCTCTTATCTTGCATTTCTATGAGGCTTGGATGCTTTTCTTCTATTACTTCAGCTTTTGTAAGCAAAGTTTACACTTGGAATTCAAAGTAAGAGCTTCCAGTGCTAGTGCTCTCATGTCAATAATTTTGTGGATAAAGCCACAAATTTGGATGTTCATCGGTTTCCCTGTAAATGAAGATTTTGGGGAAAATTAAAAATAGAATTGATTAAGAATATAATATCAAAGGAATGCTAGTGATAATGAAATGTGATTTGATGTGATGTACGATGCACTACTGAACACTGTAATGAATACTGACTCAACTCAATCACTGGATGGTAGGCATTCGAGGAAGCGAGAAAATTAAATATCAAGAAATTTGTTGATTTTGGCTGCTGAGATTGATTACTACATGTATAAACCACTGAGCACCATGAGTAGCAAAACATGCTTAAATTGTTCACAAAAGCAGTGCTCACTGGCATATCATTTGGGTCATATATTTACATCAGTAAGTTATTAGACTTTATAGTGTACAATATCCCCAGGACATCTTCAAGTGTTGTACTCTCTTGAGCAAAAAAATGTGTAATAAGATTTTTATCGTTGAGCAACCCTTTTTTACCATTTTTACCAACATAATTTTCAAGTGAGAGTCAGTGAAATTGCTGATACAAGTTAACAGAAGAACAGTATTGCAGGGATTTGAAGTAGTGTCAGTCTTGCTCGTGGTGAAGAGCAATGCTTCATTTCCCTAGAATTTTCACTTGCAACTTCTTTGCTTTGTAAAAGAAGTTTGTCTAACCATTGCAGTTCTGATTTGCATGTACCTATAGCACTGTAATGCACTTGCTTACATTCTGGCCACTGTACCAAGGAATATTCCACGATATGCTAATTCTTCTGAGTTTTTATCTCTACATAATTTATTATCAACAGTCTATTACTGAGACTATGTTGACATCAACTGACTTTTTACAAGAAAAAACAAGTGCCAGAATATACTTACTTTATTCATTTTGATCACCTAGTATATTTTTATGACTCAACATTTTTGCTATTTGCATTTATTGTTGCTCATAAATGATTATCCCATACTACATAGTTAACATTTTCATATTGTGAATTTCTTTGTTGTATCGAATAATGTATTATTCTGGATTAAAACCAATCCCATCATTTTCATAGAAATTACTATTACCCATCAACCAATCAGCAGCCTGCACTACCTCCTAAGGGTTGATATTTAATGACAGTACAAAACTCTTATATTGCAAGTATTGCTGTTTACACGAGCCTTACATGGTAGCCATGGCAACATCTGGCAGTATTAGAATAGAAATTCAGCAAGAACACTAACAATTTGTTATCCTGTATCTTAAACTGTCTTGCATTAGCTTTTGAAATGCAATTCTTGGTGCTAACAATCTCCATTCATATTCATTTATTAATCAAAGAGAGCTGGTTTTGTGGAAAATTACTATGCCATTAACAACAGCACATGAGTTTATACTTTACTACATGTCTAGGGCATGTTTTACAAACCTATTCATTAACATCAACACTTGTTTTACCACAAAGGTGTTCACCAATACCAGGAATTCACTCTCTCTTGACAATGACAGCAACTACAAGTATACTGAGTGCCAGGGCCATGGGCAATCATCAATCAACTCAAAATATGGGTTTTTGGCTTTGCTCTGTGGACCTTCATTTATGCATGTTTTGCCTTTTGATCAGTGGCCATATTCTTGCACTTTTTAAGTCCTTTGGTATAGATTTATGTTTTGCCTTTGTGGTCATATTTAACACTTGGTCAGTGTAAAAGGCAGACTGCGGACTGCAGACCAGGGGTAAAATGCAAAATGCAGACCGGGCAAAATGCAGACTGCAGACTACAGACTTTTTAATGATATTTTGTGTTATTTCCATT